TAGTCTTAAATAATCTTGGAGCACACTCTTCAATGTACATGTATACACAAAATCCACAGTTTTGTTCTTCATCAGTGTGTCTGTTTTTCACTTCCATAATATCTCACTTTTGCATAAGAGTATTTTTGCTTGCCTATCATACATCAGTAGACACCATATTAATTGCCAGGGATTACAAAGAGTGAAATAGGTCTTTAAATAAGCATTGTATTTTACTATTCACAGACACAGTTTTGAAAACTCCACATCAACACTTCTCAATGATGCAGATAGACTGTGAAGTAATGAATACTCGAGTGGTGCACGTGAAAAACGGCGACGAGACCACTGCATTCCATGATGTCAATATTGAAGAACGTCACAATAATCACACAGACAGCATGCTAACACAGAAAGGTGCCAAACTGCAACGAGACAGACCACGCAACAAATCACCATGATATTCATATTATTGTTTTCAAGGGTTTGAAACGCACACAATTTCAAGGTCAGAATCTCAAAAAAAAAAAAAAAAAAAAAAAAAAAAAAAAAAAAGAAGCTTTATTTTAGCTCAATGAAAAATTGGTGAAAACTCAGTTCATAGGTGACAATGCTTTCGTGATTCTAAGTTACAAGTGGTATAACACAAGGTACTTTGTGCATTTCTGATTAGAAACTAATGAATGGTTCACAAATTTAAGCCCAGGATTTAAAATTCTCTATGAGTAATTGAAGGATTCTTGGCAGTAATTCAGGGCAAGAAAACAACCCTTCGAAAAGAGAGTTGTATATTAAATTAAAAGATCGTTAATTTTTGGTGAATAGTTGTATACTCAATTTCCTCCATTAGAAACTGCACAATCAATATTTAATATTCTGGTAAATGTTTGTTTTATGTATTCCGAAATCTATATTTTTGTCTTGACAATGAGACTGAGGACAAGAAGTCTATTTTTCATCAATTTTATTATTATTTTATTTTACCATTTGTTGTAGATGTGAGTGCAAAAAGAATATGTGAATTTATAATTTACCAAATTATTCAAACAGGAGCATTCCAATTTTTTTTTTAATTTTTAAATCTATGTGATCTTATTTCTAAGTTTTTATGGGAAACATGCATGACATGCAAAAGTGTTTGATTGTGCATATTTTTTAGGGGGGGGGGGTGTGTGGTTATCATGGCAAGCAATGAAGTTTTTGAGCCTGGGCAGATCAGTCAGAGTTGAAACCTCAAAAAATTTTGAAAATCTAATTTCTCTTTGGGGACAGTTGTTGTATATATATATATATATATATATATATATATATATATAAATAATGTATGATTTAGACTGGCCATGGACTCACTTTCTATTAATATTCTTACAACTCAACTTAATAGCAATAATTGTATATAAAAATGAAACAAAATTAACCTAGTATTCTCTATATTGAAGGTATGTGATCAAATTTATTATATTAGAACGTGTTGTAATATTTAGTTGCAACTTGCCTATAGAGGGCAGCATTGTACTCGTAAGTTTTAAAAACTATGGGACTAGTATCAGTGAGGGCTTGATGTTAAATTTCCAACTCGCTTTTCCTAATTGTATGTTGCCTTTATATTTACTTAAGGCAAGCGAGTTACTATTCAGTTCGGATCTTAATGTCAAGCCCTGTCTTTTGCAAATTTTTTTCTTTGGTGCAATCATCAAATTGCACATTACTTTTGGACTTTTACTTATACATTAAATGTTTTACTTTTTATGGAGTAAATCTTCCATATACTTTTTATCATTTTTGTCTGTAATGTAATTGTATAGCTCAGTGCAACTGAGATTAAAAAAATAAATATCTATGAAAAAACCTGGTTTTATATCAATATCATGTGTATGTTAAATCTTGTTACATGTATAAAGAACTGATTGAAATTGGTATGCAACATAACTAGCAGCATGTGAATGAAATTGATCAAAGCCCAAGATATTCTGTGTGCAAATGACTTGAGTATAAAGTGAACTATTCAAGTGCATTATGACATGGACAACGTGGTGCCAGAGTGCGAGGAGTCAGTAAAGCAACTATGGCAATGGGCATAAGTGCCGTGTGATTCTTTTATTTGACTGCTACTCAAAATACAAATTCTCTGGAGCTTTCTTTACTTTCATTGTAGATTCAATTCCAGAATATAATGACTTGATGTGTGAAATTTAAACTTCAAGGATAGGTCAAGGCATGTACAAGACTTTTTCAGTGTAACTGCATTCATTGATTTCTGTCAGCCATTTTGGATTTGTTGACAAAATGCATGTGCATTTGTCAGATATAGGTCTGATTCACATGTGAAGTTTGAACTTGATTGGCCCAGGCATGTCTGATATATGAATCCGGAACGTAATTCTTTTAAACTCTATTTATCAAGGTCTTGTTCAGAATCTGACATATTTCTTGCTGTCATTCGGCCATCTTGAATCGGAGCAATGTAACAAATTCATTTCATATGCCAAATACGTGTTTGAAGTTTAAACTTGAACGGCCCAGGCTTGATGGACTTGGATATATAGATTCAGAACTACTTTAAAAAAAAAAAAACTGAAATGTGCATCAAGGTCCTATTTTGTTCAATGTATGTACCAAATTTATACTAAATCCATCCACACATGACCAAGATCCAGTTCCGTTATGGTAAAAATGTTTAGATGCATTTTTGGCCTTAAAATCGTGGCCATCTTGAATCGGATCATGAAACAAATGCATGTGCACATGTCTGATATGTCTGACACACAAATACTTGATACATGCAACAGCTGAAAACATTTTATTTAAAAACAATTTCAATATTGCAACATGATTGTACAAGATTATAAATACAACGTGGCAATGACAGAATTACTCTTCCTTCTTTGTGTTCCAACAGGACTGAATGTCGCTTGGCGGCGAACCCTTTTAATTTGCCCTTAAAACATAGTTGACCATAGACAAGGAAATGCCATAAATTATACTCCTGTAAAACCATTTATTTTCACTGACATTCAATTTCACTAGGTTTTAAGTTCATAAATGGAGCAGGAAAACAATGGATTCTATTATTTATAATAGAATAAGTATTTTTTTTAATTTATTCAAGTGAATTTCATTTAGTGGATTTTACCACGATTAGCGAAAATAGCGAAATTAAAACTGAGTGAACAATTAATGCATTTACAGGAACATCAGATGTGACGACAGAACTACAGCTGTCATAGTGACAGTTGATAAAGTAGGTTGTGAGTTAAAGGGGAAACCGCTCAATCCCATAGATTGCACCACATGCTCATGGGTAAATTAACTCTGCCTCTGTCCACTATGTAAATAAATGCTTGTTAAGCTCGCTTACTTGAACTGTGATTGACAGGCATTTTGCATACATTAGCCGCCATTTTAAACTCGGGATTTTTACTTGTCGCGGCACGTTTCGACCGAAAACAACATTTATACATCAAAAGCCCTCCCAGTGTAATCGCTATCGTACATATTCATGCTCCCGTAGAAATTTATTTGGATACATACTAATTGCGGTGACCATCTTGCCCCTATTTAGAGTATCGGTTCCCCTTTAAGGATGACAAAAAATTAGCACAACAAAGAAAGGAGAATATGTTTTGAATGTTACACGTTACAAGTAACTGCTGGCAAATCATCGGTATTTCATTACCGAAACATTACAACTGACTTTAAGCAAAATGTGAGGTATAATTCTGTGCCGAGTCAATGGACATGCGATTGAGTGAAAATGGAGCAGTTAGACGATGACTGATTATTTATAAAAGCAGTGCTATGCAAATCTTGTCCTATGAAATATGTTCTGTATAAGTAATAGAAATACCATGTGAGTTCACAAATAAAAATAGTTTTGGTCAAAGCTGAGTAGATTGCACAAGGCTGCTAGTCAATCAGTAAAATTGAACAATAGAACATAGCTCTGTTATAGGGATTGTTACAATAAAATTATTCATACATACATAAATTATTACATAAATTATTTATTTATATTCCATAATACTTTAAAGGGGTTAATTATTCACTGGGTTTTAATTTTGTTTATTTCGCTGACTGGAAAATGCGTTAAATTAAAACCCAGTGAATATGTAAAATTTAGCATAGAACACATTATCTAAATGATAGAATCATGAATTTAAAACCCACTGAATATGCCTGAAATGGTAAATCAGCGAAATTTAAACCCAGCGAAAATTAGTCATTTTACAGTAATACCTTATAGATTACAAAGAAAAGGTTATAAGTGAATTGTATATTAAAATTCTAAGAACTAAAGAATCAGAAAACACTGACTCGACACAGACATTTTTCTTGTCATATTTTAATGATCCAGAATATAATTAATGCTTTTTTTTTAGTTTATGAGCACTTCTAATGCAATATAGGCCATTGCACTTATTTGTATTTTGTGCGATTGTGCAGTAATGGGTCAGTAAGAATGAATGGTTTGCACCTGAAAATAACGACTTTGTTTGCTGTTTATTATATTGCATAATTATATTATAGGGGCAACTTTGTAATTCTGATCAATGAGCAACATTTGTGATCTGACAGTCACACACTGGTTGGCATTGGATAAACCTGGCATCACAGTGTGATGGCCTATACATGAACAGAAAATTAAAACCCTTCAGATATTCAGCAATTTTCAGAAATTTGAATTCAGAAAGTTTACTGAGTGTACAAGCTAGCAGCGAACACTATATCTCGCTTGATGCCATTAGAAGCTTCTTCCATCTTCTGATACAGCGTAGGATCACCTACAATACGTGCAGCATTGCGAACATCTATACATACTTCATTTAGTCGCTGTATAGTCCTTACAATAATGCCTTCCTGTACATCGGTCAGATCGGTAATCTCCGAAAAAGGCTGTTGAGATGAAATACAACCAGGTATTTGAGAAATTGATTCACACATTCAGTCTCAGTGATTGTTCCCTATATCAATCAATTAACAAATCAAACATGTTCACATAGTTACAGCAATTCCAGGCACTGATTTGACGCTGAAGTAGTGCTAGATGTTGATAACTTACTACAATAGGTTACACACTTTGTTTTCACATTTACAGAAGTTGTTACAAATAACGCAGACAGCATGTCTGCAATTTGAAGCGCACCGGAAGAAAGCTCCGCCCATAAAAGTGGCGGTACATTAGTTTTGAATTTTTCCTCCAATAAACGATCGAGGCTCTCAACTTAGTTTCATACTTAAATTTGCGTCACATGTTATTTTAGTGAGAGGGACGCATAAAGTGGTGGCACTGTAAAAACAGTTAGTTACCCGTAGAGTAACAGAACCAGCTGACCGACAGATCATAACAGAATAATTGATCAAAGTGCATTATTCCTACTATGGAAATATCCGTATCACGCCGACGTATATAACTGAAAGCTGCCTGCAACAAATGTCCTATGAAGACTTCGTCCAGTATATCAATAATGAAATTGAATACATGTATATTAAAGTAGAATGGGTGTTATTTGATTATTAGTTCTCGACGATGTGAACCAAAAGGTTGATGTGCCAACAAATAATCGCTTTAAAAAGCTTATCACTGGCAACACACGATCACGCGTCCGGGGAGGGTTGCCGCCGTACATACACAAGTAGTTTTTGTCGAATTTCCCGTCCGTAAATGCGCGGTCGCAATGTTTTATAATATTCGACATAGTCTATAACGTTGTCAGTTAGTTTTTTTAGTCGCGGATTGGTCGCTCTTACGCTTTCTTGGCAGGATACTCTCGGTGGTAACAAACTGTTTGACGATATTATAAGCTGTCTGCTTTGAAACACAAATGACAGTCCACAAAAATACAAATCAACAACTCTTGTTCTCACTTCAACTGGTTCTTCGACTCCTTACTTCTCCATCGTGGTGTTCAAACAACTTGGACAAATGGCGATTTGTAGACACACAATCAACACGATGACTGACCAAAAGTGACTAAAAGACAGACGCGCCGCAAAGTCTAGGTGTACCTGACTTTGTAGCAAAAATAGAAAACATTGTGGACAATATCTGTCAATCATTCCTCTGATTTGCAGCCGATGCTTATATTTCTAGTTACAACTTACGTAAATGTGAAAACAAAGTGTGTAACCTATTGTAGTAAGTTATCAACATCTAGCACTACTTCAGCGTCAAATCAGTGCCTGGAATTGCTGTAACTATAATATTATCAACTAGCCATGAGTAATATTTTGTTAATATAAGTATACTTGAAGGGCAGTGTTCGATATGGAACTAATAGAGACACACTCAACGTGCATAAAATACATTGTTTTTATGAAATTTAAACATTCGCTGCACGATGAAAACCACACCCTTTACGAACGAAATTCAGTCAGTGAGTGATTTTAAATTTTTTTTATAGATCAAACTCTGAAAAAAATTTTTTTCTGTAAAACACAATCTCATATTTCCTTATCTTGCAACAGTACAAGCAATGACCGATTTGAGCAACAGAATCTCATCCCATTATCGTTTAACCTTTTCACCACCAGTTCTCTCTTTTCATTATAAATTCACAAAATAGCCCTGTTATAATCTGCACTTTCCTTCAGAAGATTGGGACAAAAATAGCCAAAAGTAAAAACTGAAAATTTTGGCTCCAAAATTTGGGTTCATTTTCAGAAATATTAAAGAATTTACAAAATAGTCACAATTATAGTCATTAGGACAAAAATAGGCCAATTTTTTAGTACAAACTGAAAATTGACTCAAATTTGTCCGTTGGCTCCAAAATTAGGGTATATTTTCAGAAATATTAGAGAATATTAGAAAAAAGTACAGTAACATTTGGGCGAGAAAGTCTGGTGGTGAAAACAAAAACAAATTTGGAAATTATACATGTGAAAAATCAGCAGAGCAAGATTATCATTTAGGCATGGTTTAATTATTTTAAATTGCCTAGAACATTCCGAACACTGACACAAATAAATCACTCTACTAATCCATCCATAGATGGATTAGCGAGAAAGTCTGGTGGTGAAAACAAAAACAAATTTGGAAATTATACATGTGAAAAATCAGCAGAGCAAGATTATCATTTAGGCATGGTTTAATTATTTTAAATTGCCTAGAACATTCCGAACACTGACACAAATAAATCACTCTACTAATCCATCCATAGATGGATTAGCGAGAAAGTCTGGTGGTGAAAACAAAAACAAATTTGGAAATTATACATGTGAAAAATCAGCAGAGCAAGATTATCATTTAGGCATGGTTTAATTATTTTAAATTGCCTAGAAGATCCCGAACACTGACACAAATAAGTGACTCTACTAATCCATCCATAGATGTACTAAATCATCCATAAAAGTGTCATCTTACCATTCCTCTTCCCCATTCATAAACGACTTCAGTTAATCCAAATTTAAACTGAGCTACATAGTCTTCCACAGGTTCTGTGAGACCACACTGTTTCTGTAACTCTCCAATGCGAGTTGCCACTGACACTATCTGTTCCTGACCCTTTGAAAAAAACAAGTTTTACATTAATACATACATGTCTTGGTGCAATTCTCCTGAAACTTATATACTGCTTGTATAACAACTATGCATAAAAAGCTTTGAAATGAATGTTAACTCAAGCAGGTGAGTGAAAGATCAAATTACCATTATTGTTGCTACATGTATGTCTGTGACATCAATGACACAGTGCGATAAGTTTTCTTACAAAATGATTTACCGATACTAAACGGAGTTTACCGTGGCCACGCATGAATGTTGCCTCCAAAACTGTTAACAGTCTAGTGGCTTCCAGAAGTAAAATTGCTCACAATGCAGATTTCAACAAGAAGTCTAAAATATCATTTTTTAACAAAAATATGCACCAAAATATGCACCAAAATTAGAGAATTGAAGAAATCATCATGAAATGAACAAATCTAAGAGAGGTCTACTCAAGGTACATATACACCAAGCATTCAGGCTTGTAATTTTCAAAAAGAAGTCGAAAAAGTAAAACATTGACAAGGGCGACGGACGCCGACGACGGACAATCACTCATATGATAAGCTCTGCTCGACAAAGTCGACAGCGGAGCTAAAAAGTTGACACAGACGCTGAGGGACAATCACTCATATGATAAGCTCCGCTCGACAAAGTCGACAGCGGAGCTAAGAAATGGATAAATTCCGGGTATATGAATTCATGAGTAGACTTCTACCTAAACACACTTAAAAAATTGGGGATACCGGGTATCTATAGATGTTGTTGCTACCTTTTCAAGTGTTTCAGTTAGTTCTGGTTCAGAGCAGCGACGTTCTTGGAAAACCATGCATGATAACAAGGCAGCAATCTCATTGGGATGTAGTGATGTGAGTATGTTCTCAAACACCAGCTCTGTAATAATCAATTCATGGTTGCTTATTTCACAAGCAACTCTTCCCTTCAGCTGCACTGTGTTGCTGTCATCAATGTATCGTAGGCTTCTTAATACCTGCATTGTTAGAAAACATTCACTATGGAAAAAATACTTAATCATTTTTATTGAGTAACAAGTCATTGAAAATGACACAGTTCCCGTTAAATTTTTGAAAGTTTTCTTTGTGCTTGTCATATTAAAGCGGAAACTTGAGTTCCAAGTGGCGTATTCAACAGATTGTTTATTTACATCAAAACACGTGTACTGTGTAGTAGTAATATGGCCAAAAATAAAAACAGCCGTTATTCGGCCATCTTTGATCTGATTATGAAACACACTGATATGTATGATGCATGTGCCAAATATGAATGAAAATAGTACATAAATTGTGGAAATATAGTAGTAAGGCCAAAAAGTCAGATGGCTGTCAATCGACCAGATTTGACAAGATTTTAAAACAACATGCATCCTAACATGTATAAAGTACATGTATGTGCCAAATTTGAATGAAAACTGACAGAGCACGTCCAAGATACCACATAAAAACAAAAAACAAGATGCCTGCCAGTCGACCATCTTTGATCCAATTGCGAAATAAATCGTCATGGACATGTATCCT